ATATTGTGATAAATAAATTAACTTTGGATAGGTAAAGGAAGTGACAAAATAAATTCGAACCTAAAACTCACTTAAAAAGTTTGAACTTGAACTCAATTTGAAAGAAAAAGTCAAAGATTTGAATCTAAATTCAAAATGGCTTGAACTTAAATAACTTGAATAGAAATCTATTTGAATTAAAAAAATTTTGAATTTGAATGAACCAAACTTAAAACTCAAAATACGTGTACAAATGGATTTTTCATAAAATCTAAAAGAACAACATGATTAGCTTGAACTTGAATCTAACCCAAAGTCGAAAGAGCCCAAACCTAAAAAGATCTAAACTAGAAACAACTTAAACTCGAAATCATTTAAATCCAAAATTATTAAAAATCAAAATGCTACAAATTGTAGACACCCTATTTTGTCTAAGGACTTTTCGACATTATCAAGTCTTAAACTGTAATTTGAAATTGGACTTCAAAAGTTTTTTAGGCTAATTGGGCTTTAATTTGGCAATTAGGATTCAAAGTCTAAACAATTAAAAGGCATAAAGTGTATTAATTTATTATGCTATTTTCACTTTTATTAGTTTTTATATTATCTTTAATTTTTATTTTTTAGTCCAAGTTAAAGAGTCAAAAAAGTCAAAAAAATAAAATCCAAAATAAATAAAAAATAAAAAAGGAAAAATATAGGAAATTTTAAGGTTGATTTTTTAGATTGTGCTTGAATTCAAAAAATGATTTTTGAATTTGTTTGGTAATTCTTAGGAATTTAGTTTGTACAAAAAGTGAAAAAGAGATTTCAAAAGTATTAAAGATTGATCTTGACAAATTCAGTCAATTAAAATATTTCTAAGCTAAAGTGAATTCAATCCCTATATAAAAAACTTAAAAAAACATAGTAATTGGATAGAGAGCTTGGATGGCAATTGAAATTAAAAAAAAAAAATAAAGAGCTAACACAATTAACATATAGATAAAGAACTTTTGGTTTTGAAATTTAGTTTTGATTTTTTGAGTTTTGGCTTTAATTTAAACTTTAAAGCTGCTTCTTGAGACAAAAAATTGTTTTGCTTAGTTTTACTTTTTTTAAAAAAAAATAAAGCTATTGTTCAAGTGTTTTTGGGATTTTGTTTCAAAAATTTTGGTTTTCTATAATTTTTTTTGGGTTGTTTTTTATGAATTTTTTGAATTTTTAAATGAGATTGACAATAGACCACAATAGAAGAGTTCATCAATATCTAGGTTTCACAATGGTATCAGGGAAAAGTTTGAATTTTTTGGTGAAGGTTGCGTTTTTTTATGCTAGATTCTAAAAAAATAGTTGGTTTATAGGAATTGTTGAGTTTCATAGCTATCCTTTTATAAAAATGGCATTGAAAAGAAAAACAAAAGAGAATGAGAGAATGAGAAAAAAAGAAGATGAAGAAAATAAAATTTTCGTCTGTTATAATATCAAGAAACTACACCATTTTAAAGAAACTCTGACCTATATTCTGGCTTATTTGGACTTGTATGCCAATTTGGTTGAAAACTCGACCCGATTGTAAATTTTTTTTCTTTTCTTTTTTATTTTATTTTTTATTTTTAGAGTTTTTTTCTCTTTTCTATTCTTTTAATGTTTGTTATTTTTTAATTAATTTATCCATTTCTTATTTAATTTATTTTTATTTTAATTTTGATTTAATTGAAAAATAATGAAGAAAAAGAAAAAAAATTTATAGTGAATTTTGATTTTGTAATTTTTATATTTCTATAATATTTTTGTTTGATTATTTTGAAATTATTTTGTAAATAAAAGGGATGTAAATAATTTTTTCATAAAATATTTAATCCAACAACGGAACTTTTTTAAGTGAACGACGAGTTTTTTTTTAATACTCCTGAAGTGAGGAAAATTTCTTTTTGGTAAAAACCTAAAAACTTTTTCTAACATTTAAATTATGAGATGAATAAAAATAAATAGCATAGACAGTTTTAATTAAAGCTTAGCTAAAAACTAATTTGATACTAATTTATGGGCATTATGGGGTGTTACAATATTCCCTACCTGTAATCGACTCCTAAACCAAATTCTAAATATGTAAACCAGAATTTATTCTTTTTAAAGATTCTTAGTTATGCTTAGGACAACCTTTCGAAAGATAAATTCATTTAGATGACCAATCATGGCTAGTAAAAAAGATTAGTGGCAACTTCATATTTTTTGTGTCTAATAATCAAGTTTTCAGACTTCAACATTATGATAATTTGACGACTCCATCAATGAGATTAGAGAGTCAAGTCAATTGTTAGTCATATGTTATCTTAAGTTTTACTTTGATAGTTTTATTTTGATTATTTATGTATGTTTTTATTCATGTTTTTTGGTGTTCACTAATCCATTTATTTATTTTTTTAATTTTTGTATAATATTTAATCAGTGGTATGTTAAGATTTAGGTTTTGAATAAAATGTCAAAAAGGTTGGAATGTCCCTTCACCCACTTTACACATGTACATTCATGTATAAACTCTATATCTAAGTTTTATCCTTTTTAGGAGTGAGTGTATAGGACCCGCACCTAACTTGCGAGGTATTGTCCGCTTTGACCCGAAGGTCTCACGGTTTTGTCCTACAAAAGGCGCCTCACAAGTTTGGGATTAAGTCTCTGCATATATATCATTCTTTATCGACACATCCTCTTGATGTGGGATTGGGGGCGTTACAATCTCTCCACCTTTAATGCTTGACGTCCCTGTCAAGCCGAGTCCATCCACAGGACCAAGATCACACCAGACCATCGTGTAGCACTTAGTGACTCCTACGGCTCCACCGTGTAGCACTTAATGACTCCCACGACTGTGGACTGGTGACCGCTCTGATACCATTTGTAGAGACCCGCACCTAACCTGTGAGGTGTTATCCGCTTTGACCCGAAGGTCTCACAGTTTTGTTCTACAAAAGGCGCCTCACAAGTTTGGGATTAAGTCTCTACATATATATCATTCTTTATCCACACATTCTCCTGATGTGGGATTGGGGGCATTACAGAGTGAGTACATCCACTCTCATGAATTGATAACCTCCATGTGAACTAGCAAAAGACTCCTACTTAAATTGAACATTTTTTTAGCCTATATTGTGTAAGGATTAGGGTGCCTTACTAGTTTATCATGGACAATGATATAAGGAACAACCTTAAACCCGTTTATCATTGACAATAATGTGAGGAGCAATTTGGGAACCATTAGATTATCAAGACTTTTAACCCAGCATGTAGTCAAACCCTAGGAATCCAACGTTAAGTTAAAGCTCTACCATTCCTTTTGTATAAAAACTAAAATATGACATATGAAGAAATATCTCTTACCTTTTACACATTTTTTTTAAAAATTGTATATTCATGCATTTGCATCATCATAAAAAGAGTTTTTTGCATAATGGTTAAAATCTTTTGTTAGAGATTGTTTTGCATCATATTTATTTCATTGTTTTTAAAGAAAACTTTTGCAAGGTGTAGGGATGATTTTACAAATTTTTCCTTTGCATGAACACATAATAATATGGTGCTCTAATTGTAGTAATAAAGGTTCAAGGCTAACTCAATCTATGAACAATCTGATGCAATATAATACTCTTTATCAAGCTAGAATTATGGAAGAAAAACAAGCTCTCAATATCTAAAAGGTGGAAAAGGCACAAAAATAGATGCAGAGATAGTTAGAACATATAATAGAGTTGCTAAAAAACCTTAACAAAAGGAAGACAGTGGTTAAAGAGGTTGCTGCCCAAAATGGACACATTGATGATCCATTATACCTTCATGGTTTTGGCCTATATCAAGCTCAAGCGTCCCAAGGAGCACCACCACAAATGCCATGCACTGAAGGATACCCCTATGTATATTCTAGTGTGCCTTCATCAGTTGCCTAAGCACATTTTCAATGATACATTACTCATCTTGTTAACATAAAAATATTAGATGAAACTTAAGTTCCAAATTTGAATAATCCAAAAGAAAAAGAAAAGCTAAAATTGGTGTACTAGAAACCACAAAAAGCTTAAGGTCTTAACAAAAGATGGATCACAAAATGAAAAGGCTACAAACCATTGAAGAAATAGATTTCTATAATTCAATGGATGTTGCTAGATTGTACTGAGTTCTTGATGTGGTAATTCCACCCAAATTCAAGGTGATTGAATTTGAAAAGTATGTTGAAACTAAATGTCCAATAATACATATCACAATATACTATCGTAAGATGGTTACACATGCAGATGATGAAAAGTTGCTCATATATGTTATTCAAGATAACCTTATTGGATTTGCTACATTGTGCTATGTCCAATTGGATAAAAACTACACCAATTGCTAGAGGAACTAGCAAGAGCATTTATCACACAATAAAAAAAATCATAGATTTAGCTTTAGACTGTGTTTTATAAAGCATGGAAAAGAAAAATATTGAGAGTTTTGAGAAATATGTCTAAAGGTGAAAGGATGCAGTTATCAAAGTCCAACCATTGCCCATCGAAAAAGAGATTAGGTTTTGTTTGTCAATATTTTTAAAACTCTCTATTATAAAAGAATGATCGGTAATGTCATCAAAAATTTTATTTACATAATAATTTTTGAGAAGATAATAGAGAATGTAATAAAAATGATAAATTTAAAAATGATAATGCAATTAATGCAAAAAAAAATTACACAAAAAAAAACTTAAGTTCTAATTTACGAGGTACAACAAATTGGAGGCTAACAAGTGCACTTAAAACATCTTTAAGATTAATATTATTTATTATAACAATTTTGCATTAATGCAACGGTAGGTAACAAAGCATATATAGTCACATAAATAAAAATTTAAGAGAGTAATTAATAAATAGTTGTTTCCTCGAAACCAAACCAGTAATTGTAAGGTTTCAAATGCTAAGACACATTTCCCAACCCTATGGATTAAACATAAACATGGCCCGTCAAACCCCCATGGTTTTCTTCAGTTCATTTTTCTACAGTACCAATAAACACAACAACTTAATATGGGTCAACAACAACTATGTTTTTTATCTTATCATTTTTTTTTCAAATTTAATTCTATTATGATTTTTTTCTCAAAAAAAATTATTATGCTTTTAACCAGCTGACCTATGCAGAAAATCCTCTTCATTATCACACTTGAAATTCAATCAAGACTAACCAAAACTCAAATTTGCTTTAAATATAATCTTCTCTTCAGTTGACAGTAACAGTACTAACTGAGATAACCCTAATCAAGTGCCGTTCGTTGGCTAACCAGCCGTCGAAGAAATTAGAGCCCAGTAGTAAAAAAGGAAAAATCCCAGAGACTAGTCAAAAGCCACGCGGAAAGATCCTGATGGGGTGCCCGCTACGTCATCCATTTCGTACCTTGTGCTGGTGTTTTTAACTGTATGGCCTCCACTTCTATATAAACCCTCTCCTCTTCTTTCTTGCCTATTCCATTTCATAAGGCTCTGACCTTCTTCTTCTATCTTAGCTTCTTCATTTTAGAGAAAAACAAAGTAATTTTAGGTGATATATACATAGCGAAGCATGCCTGCGGGTGGATTCTCATCGGTCCCACCGGCCGGGGTGGAGTTCGAAGCTAAGATCACTCCCATCGTCATCATTTCTTGTATAATGGCCGCCACCGGTGGCCTTATGTTTGGTTATGATGTTGGTGTTTCTGGTAATTCATTTTTCTTTGCTTGCATGAAAATTTAGATGATTAATAAAAAAAAATAAAGGAAAGGAGTTAAACTTTTTTTAATATCTTTTGTTTATTTAAAAGTTACACTTTTTTTTTAATATCTTTTGTTGATTTAAAAGTTTCTTTTCATCGTCTTAAACAATCAAACAACTCTGGTTAAAAAAAAATTAAAATTTTTTATGTTTTTAATTTAACACATTTTATTAAAAAATTTTTTCCTTTTTTGGCTATGGGTTATGAGTGATTTATTAAAAGAAAGAAATAAAAAACCATTTTAGGATTTTATTAAAGTTTGAATTTGTGAAAGGAAATAAAAAAAATAACAGAAGAAAAGCAGCTTTTCTACCACCAAACTGGGACTCAAAGAGCAATTGCCATGTTTTAAGAACAAGGGTACTTTTGGAATTTGATAATGTTAGCTTAGTTTTTTATTGAGATAAATGAACTTACTTTTGTGTGAATTGATGCAGGTGGCGTTACATCCATGCCTGACTTCTTGCAAAAGTTCTTCCCGGTTGTCTATAGAAAGACCAATGACCCTGGAATCGATGGAAATTACTGCAAATATGACAATCAAGGCCTACAATTGTTCACTTCATCGCTTTATTTGGCTGGTTTAACGGCCACGTTTTTTGCCTCCTATACCACAAGGAGGCTTGGCCGCCGCCTCACCATGTTGATTGCTGGTTGCTTTTTCATTGTTGGTGTTGTTCTTAATGCTGCTGCTCAAGACCTTGCCATGCTTATTATTGGCAGGATCTTGCTTGGTTGTGGAGTCGGCTTTGCTAATCAGGTAATTTCCATAAATGGGTTTTGCTAATCAGTAATTTCCATAAATGGGTATTTATTATATTTTAATATATTGTTTCCATATATATCAAGCAGTTTATGGAAGGTAACAATGAATTATTGCCATCAAAATTTTTTTTGTAATTGTTTTTTTAGAAATTTTTTTTTTATATTTAAAATCGTTAAAGATTGAATCTAATCACTGAAATACAATATTTTACCAACATATCACATGATCGCCGACTAAAAATAATTTTACTAATAGCCAAATTTAAGTTAAGATCTATCATCGATCCTAATATTTTAACTACTTATATTTGATATATTAGATGTTATACATTGATAGTGAATCATATAATAATATTTCATGAAAAAATTAATTTTATAATTTAAAATTTTAAAAGCAAATATACATAATCTTAAAAATATACTTAAAATTAATTTTTAAAAAGGTGCCATAATGTACTGATAGTATACAACATTATACACTAATTAACAATGTAGCAAACTAAGAGTTATTTGAATTGAGCCAATTGGTGCATATAAAAGTAGAGTACCAAATTAAGAGTAACAAGGCGGTAAAATTCTTTCGATAATAAACAAATTTTTGGTAGTGGAAGAAAGATGTAGCAAAAACAGGTGCGTTTATTTTTGGACGTTGTCTCTAGTTGAGGTAGCCTTATCAGGCATAATTTAATTCCCTTTGGAATAATTTGGTAATCAGTTTGATATATATACTTCCCTTATATTTTAGTTGATGATGGTAATAGCATTCGAATTATCACTTATGAGTCAATGTCTGATCTTGACCTTTAATTTTGAAGGGGTTAAAGTAATATTTTATAAGAAATTTTTTAAAAAATATATTAAATTTATTAGTAATAAAAAATAAATGCAAACATATAATAATAAAATTATATGTTAATATGTAAATATATATATAACAAAATGAATATATTAAATAATTGGTCTTATGACTTTTAATTATAAATCATTAACAATATTTTTTATAAAAATAAAATCATTTTATTTTTTTGCAATATTAATATATTATTTTATCATATTTAATATTTAAAGAATTAAATTGAAAAAATCACAAAAATATATTTTAAATAAATTAAATTTTAAAATAATAAAGTAAAGACTTTGATACAATAAATTAAAACTTTCTAATTTTTAACATGGTATTTTTACTTTATAAAATATGAAAATGTATTTAAACTAATTACATTAGTTATTTTGACATGTAACAATTTTTAAATAAAATGAGGATGCAGAATATAATAAAAAATTTGATTAAAAAAAATTACAATTGGATATTTTTCAATTTGATTTTAGTTATTATAATACTTGCATATATATTAAACTTAAATTTACATGTTTGTTTAAATATAATGTTGACAAATTTGTTATTCATTTTTAATTAAAAATTATTTATAATAAATAAACAAAAGTTAAAGAATTATAATTTTTTTGAAATTAAGAGTTGTAATAATTAAATACAAATAATTTTTGTAATTATATATCCAATATAGATACATAAAATAAAAAATAATATATATCAACACAATAAATTTAAGTTCGACGGAACTAAATTAATTTTTTTATAAAAAAAATCAAAATTATTATAAAAATAACATATATATATATATATATATAAAATTTTAAAATTTTTGGGGGCCATGGCTCCCTAGGTTCTTCAAAGGATCCGCCGTTGCTTATCAGCCACTTCATTAGCTTGTTAATGAGTCCAAACCTTACATTTCCACAGATTCTTATAGCCCCAGTAATCCCCGTTTTCAGCACGTCGCTAAAACTCTTGTCTGCTGGCTAAGTTTTGTAAGAACGGACCAGACCTTCTTGACCCAATGTTCCGTAAAATTTAGAGCTAAAATTATAACTATTGGTTGATTCATTAATTAACTAGGTAAGCTTGATAATTATATTAGACGCTTGTTGTTTAATTAATTAGCTTTATTAAGTCTTAGGATCCATTTGAAGCTGCATTGGTCGCTAAAAAACTCAGTCATGAAGCACACTTTTTGATGTGATGAAAATTCACCAATCTGACTCTCAAATGGACTGTTAATCATGAGTGAGCTTGTTTAACTTCCCTTATTTTTTAGCTTTAAATATATATATATTATGAGGTTTGACGTTTTATACATGTGATTGTGACGCTTTTTTTTCTCCTTTAGCTTAATATGAGAAGGCATCGTATGAAAAAGATCTCTTGGATTTATCCACAAAAAGTCTTTAAAAGCAAGTTTCTTTACATTTTCTTCTTGCTTTTAGATTTTTTTTTAATATCTTTTGAAAAGTCTTTTTACGAATTACGTGATGCTTTTTTGACCCATTTTCCCTCCAACTCTTCTTTTCTTGTGTGGTGTGCATTTTTGCATTGTTTATCTTTATCTTTTCGTCAGTAAAATAACTTGTGCAGTTGATATTGGAATTTGTATGTATAATAGGCTGTGCCACTGTTCCTATCAGAGATAGCACCCACAAGAATCCGTGGCGGGTTAAACATATTATTCCAGCTTAACGTCACTATTGGAATTCTATTTGCCAATCTTGTCAACTACGGTACCGCCAAGTAAGCCTCATCTTTCTACCTCTACGGCTCCCTCTCTCTCTTTTATTTTTGTTTCTTCATTTTTAAAAGTTTTCATCATTGTAGAAAGTGAGAGAAATTATGTTTTTCCTTATATAGAAGATTATAGTCTGGAAATAAAAAAATTTTAGTGATGAATTCGATTTTCAATTTTATTAAATGTTATTTTTAAAAATGTTATAAAAATCAATTAATTAAATTCTACATTCAAATAGATATATTATGTTAAAACAATAAAAATATGTGAAATGAAATGCTTTTCTATGAATTTAGCATTGAAGTACACGTGGCCTGTAGCAGATTTGTTTAAGTTGTTGAAGGTGGCAGCTACTGTTAAAACAACAAAACTATATTCTAAAAAAATTTCTCGTCAAATTGTTAACTTCTCTTCCTTGGTATGTTTCTCGACACCTGTTAGCAGTTAACAGCTTTGCTCACTTATTAAACAAGTAAAACTTTGGCAAATGATGAAGATTTTCCAGGGAGGGAGTCTCCAACTCGAATTCAAAGATGCCTTAGGTTTTTTTTTTTTTTTTTTTTACCAAAAGCTAGTCGTCTTTTATGCTTCTTTTAGTCGTTTCTTTTGTTTGGAATAGCATAGACAATATGAGCTTTTGAAAGTTTTTGTTTTAATCCCAAGTAATGCGTTGAATGCTAAGATGCTCAGGTTTGACCATTGAGTTTTGATAGGCTATGCAAAGCATATGCCTTGAAACTGTGAAGAACCATTGACAGAAGTTGGTGTGATGATACACAATCAGTCATTTCCTTTTGCATTGCAACTAAATTCTGGCTTTTCTGCTGACTATTTATCATCAATTCTTTGCTTTTCAACGACAGAATTGAAGGAGGATGGGGTTGGAGGCTATCATTGGGATTGGCAGGAATTCCAGCACTTTTCCTTACTGTCGGCGCCCTCCTGGTGGTTGACAGTCCTAACAGTCTCATTGAGCGAGGTCACCTGGAAGAAGGAAAAGCTGTGCTCAGAAGGATTCGGGGCACAGATAATATTGAGACTGAGTTCCTGGAGCTTTTTGAGGCAAGTCGTGTGGCAAAACAAGTGAAACACCCTTTTAGGAATCTCCTTCAACGCAGGAACCGCCCCCAACTTGTCATTGCAATTGCCCTGCAGGTTGGTACTTAATAGCAGAAACATGTCTTTTGGTAACATAAGCAATTCTTACTGATATGTCTGCTTTTCTTTTTGTTTGAATACATGGAACAGATCTTCCAACAATGCACGGGTATCAATGCAATCATGTTTTATGCCCCAGTCCTGTTTGACACGCTGGGATTCGGCAATGATGCGTCCCTTTACTCTGCTGTTATAACTGGGGCTGTCAATGTGCTCTCCACAATCGTATCCATTTACTCGGTCGACAAAGTGGGTCGTCGAGTGCTGTTACTTGAAGCTGGTGTCCAGATGTTTTTCTCTCAAGTAGTCATCGCAATTATTCTAGGAATCAAGGTTAAAGACCATTCTAATGATCTCCATAAAGGTTTCGCAATCCTAGTAGTTGTTATGGTGTGTACCTTCGTGTCAGCTTTTGCATGGTCTTGGGGGCCTCTTGGTTGGCTGATCCCTAGTGAAACATTCCCCCTGGAGACCCGCTCGGCAGGGCAGAGTGTGACTGTTTGTGTCAACTTGCTCTTCACATTTGTTATAGCCCAGGCTTTCCTGTCAATGCTCTGTCATTTCAAGTTTGGAATCTTCTTGTTCTTCTCTGGCTGGGTTCTGATCATGTCAATCTTTACACTGTTTCTATTACCCGAGACGAAAAATGTACCAATTGAAGAGATGGCCGAGAGAGTGTGGAAGCAGCACTGGTTTTGGAGGAGATTCGTCGATGATGATCATGAGGGAGCAGCTGTTATCAATGGTGATATCGCAAAGAAAAATGGACATGCTAATGGGTTTGATCCAACTTCACAGTTGTAAATTTGAGATGTTTCAAACCACATCTCAGTGCTAGAAAAAAATAATAGATGCATTAGAGAATAGAAAACCAATATACTTAAGTATCAGAGAAATGTATGAGTAGTGTTATTTAAAATATTCTAGTGAAATTATTGTCAAAGTATTTGATGTATGATGGTTGCTATCAAAAATCAATCTTTGTGAGCTAGAGTTACAGTAGGAAAATTTTATCCTGCTGAGGTATAATCATTCGATGGAAGAATTTTTAATCTTCAATAAATATTGGATCAATAATTTGAATCAATGGAATAGCTCCAAACCATAAGAAGAGACCAAATTCTCTGGATGAAACACTTTAATCGATCTTCTGTATTTTCAACCTTAAGAGATGTAATTCTCAGTTAGGAAATTGTCAGCAACAAGGCTATCAGTTACTGATCACCAAACAAAGCCATAAAAGGACCCGAGAACAATAATCCCACAATATTAAATATTATTAATATGGGTACATATTCATATATTAAAGCTGTATTTGTCAAGAATGAGGCCAAATTCAAAGCTGTATTTGTTCAAAATCGAAGGCTGCTTCTTCCTCCAAACTACCCCTTTAGCCCCAAGCGGGATGCTTTGCCAACCTACCACGTGAAGTTTTAATCTCAGTAAAATATTCACCACTACTAGCTACTACTCTCTCACAGTTATGACCTTGTGCAAACACAACTTGGGCTTTGTCCAGATTGGTAGTGCAAAAAAGGTTGATTTCTGAAGTAAGGAAGAAGAGATGTCAAATTGGTAAAGAGTCTACATATTTAAAAAGTAGTTAAACTCGTACTATATAGCATTTCCCCTAACCCAATACTAGACCTAGCAATTTAAAAAACTATAGCGAAGGTGACCCGAGTTAAAATTTTAACAAATATAAGTTTAACAAATATGATAAAATATATTTCATATTTTTCGTTTCGATATGAATTATAATATATAATTTTTGTATAAAATATTAAACGAATTCACAAATTATTAATATTTTGTATTATACAAATACATGTAGACATCGAATTTTATTCGAATCTACTAGATTAAATTTTATTTTTAAGTTTTGTCTATTAATATTGAAATTAATTAATAATTATAGTTGATAAAAAAAAAAACAAAAACAAAACAAACAAAAAAAGAAAAAATAAAGGAAAAAAAAAAGATAGCAGAAAGCAAGGGGGCTGATGCCTGACACTAGTCACCCTATAACCCCCTACAACCCCTTGCAACCTCCCGACTAGCCACCTCCTGTCCAATCACCTCACAAGAACACTGCCACCCTTATCATGTCCCCTCACCAGTCACCCTTGTAGCCCCCTACAGCCATCCCTATAGTTCCCTATCCAGCCGTCCTACCACCACCATGTGGCCACCTTACAAATGCTATGCCCTCAAACACAAACTGAGGCTTCCAACCTTATAAAAAACCCAACTCTTTTCCCTTTCCAGGCTCACTGGGACACAAATCTTAGAACATATTAGAAACCCTCAAGCTCAGATACACAAACGCCCTGCCTTTCGCACACCCAAACGACTCAGCCTTTCGCACGCCTTCAACCTCTAATCCCAGCCTTTAAACACCCCATGAAACCCTTTACCAAGCACTCTCAACCTTACTCGATACCTATTCTGATTCTAAACAGACAACAAAAAATAAAAATCCACCAAAAAAAAAAAAACAGTCTCCCCGTAATAAGGAACCATCAGCACCGAGCAAACCCTGTAAAATAAAAAAAAATAAAGAAGTTAGTTTCTTTAAAAAAAAAAAAAAAAAGCTTAGAAACCACAAAGGGACGATAGTGGCTTATTTGGGCAATCAGTGATAGTGGAAAGGGGAAGGAAAGTGAGAAGAACAACATACTACAAAATAAAAAAGATATGACGGCGGAGGAAAACGTTTTGGCGATTTGAAAGTTTTGACTTTGGGTTCAGATCTAGTGATTCTGAGGCCATTTTGTGCGAAAACATGGCTCGAATTCGTGAAAAGGAGTTGAAAAGGAAGCTTTAGGGTGATTTTGGAGATTTTTCAAAGTCGGTGACTGATAGCTGGCGGTGAAGCATGACAGTTGGTGCGACACTGATGACCAACTTCTAGCAACTGGCCGACCATTTTTTTTTTTGTTGAGAGAATTTGATCTTTTTTTTTAGAAAATAGAAGAAGGAATGAGCTAAAAAAACTATGGCTTTATATAAAGAGATAAAGTCCAAAACGATGTCCTTTTATCAAAGAAGGATCCGCACATTGACCCTGACCTGACTCGGGATCCGCGTAACCCAACTCGCGATCCACTTCTACTTTAGCTTAAAATCGATCTAGTTGAATCGATATTGAACCACCAAAAGCTCGATTTGAGCTACATAACTATTGAACCGATCAGTTTGGTCCATACCGATGTTGACCAGACTATTAACCAGTCCAGTTCAATTTTTTTTTGAACTTTCTAATTTTTTTATATTATTATTTTTATTTTGACTTTTATTTTTTAATTTATCCATGATAATTTTTTTTATTTTTTTAGAATAATTATTTGATTATTTTTAATGATAATAAAATGAAAATAAAGTAGGATAATAACTAAAAAATATTAAAAATGCTTAAATAATAATAATAATAATAATAATAATCTAAAAAATGATAATAACAATAAAATATTTCTTTATCATTTTCCATTCCTAGATGTTCGAGGTAACTTAACCGTATTCCAAATAATGATAATTTCAAATAGATGTTGGAAAATTATCATTATAAAAAAATATTAAATAAATTAATAATATTTTTTAATAATAAATAAAATTTCGAGCCCTCAATCCGTTGGGCCTTTCATGGCCCCGTTAGTTGGCTTGCCAATTAACTCATCCTACTGCCATTTTCATAAAAAAAGAATTTTTTTAAAATAATTTTTTAAAAAATTATAAAAATTGAATTTGCTTCAAAAGTTCATATAGATGTTAGAGATTTTTAAAGATGTTCGTGTTATTAAAAAAAAATAAAACCTAAATTTCAAAATCCTAAACCCTTTAAAGCCTAAAAACTAAACCCTAAACCTTCTAAACCCTAAAAACAAAACCCTAAACTCTCAAAACCCTAAAAACAAAATCTAAACCCTCAAAACCATGAAACGAAACCCTAAATCCTCTAAACTCTAAAAACGAAGCCTTAAATCTTTCAAACTCAAACTCAAAATCCAAACCCCAAAACCTTCAAAACCTAAACCCAAAGTTTGAAATTCTAAAAATCAAAATCCTAACCCTTTAAACCTTAAAATTAAAACCTAATCCCCAAACCCTAAAACAAGGCCCTAAATTTTCTAAACCCTAAAATTCATGGCCTAAAACCCTTAAAACTTGAACCAAAACCCTAAAATCTAAATCTTCCAAATCTAAAACCCTAACCTTTAAAACCTCGATCTAAGCTCTAACTAAGACCATCCCAAAATCCTAATGATGTGTATAAAAATTTCACTCGAAATAATTTGTTCTCAAATGCCACCTAGACAATGTGGTATTTAAGAAAATTTATTTCATTAATTTTTCATGCCAGTCCTTATTTCATTTTACCATGGGATTAAAAGCAATAAATAAAAAAGGGTATAATAATAAAATAGGATCTTAAATATAAATAGTCACACCTAAGCTCTACTTAGATGTTAATGAGTCGGGGTGGTCTCATTATACTTAAAAGCCAAACTTTAAAATTGCATTTCATCTTACATAACATTCATTGGCATACATATATTAGCATGTTATCGTTGGCAATCATTTGCATTTTTCTGTCTTTAATTTTTATCTACTATGTGATGATAAAATGTTTTATAATAAAAAAGGGACAATATTTTTTTTTAAAATTTTTGTGATATTATAAAATAAAATAAAAATAACATTTCGAAGGAAATAATTCTTGGTACTCTGCCTAAATGTTGAAAAGTCACCAACAATTATCTTCTATAAAGAGTGTTATTTCATTTTAAGGATTGTTGTATTAAATCTTAAACAAAAAGAGTTACTTTAAATTCTACCTAGATGTTGGAAAATTTTAAGATAATTCTTTAACTTAAAGATTTTCTCAATATTCCTAAACAAAGCATTTTAGAAAAAATTTATTTTTTTAAACCAAAAGGATTATTATTAAATTTCAAATTAAAACTATTTCATTCAACACCGAAAATAGTGCATTTTAAATTTCAAATTAAAACTATTTCATCCCCACACGTAACTGACTCCCGGACCTAACCTGGTTTTCATAAATTGAAATCTATCTTTTTGATAAACTTTAAACCTGTTTTTTTATAGTTTTATTAAAAAGATAAATTTTGGATGGCCAATCACACCCTGAAAAAGATTTGTGGTGACTCATCTCATTTTCTTTGATTTTTAAAATTTTTTACATCTGGCGATCCTAAAACCGTTACGACAGCTTGGCAACTCCGATGAAGATTTTTCAGAGTCAACCAAAATTTTAATTATGTGCTATTAATAGTTGTTGGATTTAATTGGTTTTATTTGATATTTAATTTAATTCCCTTTATTTTAATTTTTCAAAATATATATACATACAAGTTAATAAATAAAATAAATTATATGTTAGTTATTACTTTATTTTGATTCTATGTTTATGATTTATTTATGTTATTTTGATTAATACATCACTTTGCACATATTATGCATATTTACTCACATGCATAAGCTCTAGATCTGGGCTCTTTTCCTTTTATAAGGAAGTAGAGTAGTTACGCTCTCGTGAGGTGATAATCTCTGCATTTGCTAGCAAAATAATTTCACTCAGATTGAATCATTTCTGTTAGTAGCCTGTAATAAGTGAGGATTGAGGAGCCTTACTAGTCTATAATAAACGAGGATGTGAGGAATAGTCTGGGAACCTTTAGATGTATAAATCCTAACTTGGCATATCGTGAGCCATAGAAGCTTGCCTAGGATAGAACCCTGTCGACTTTTTTATAAAAATAATCTAAAAATGTATTAAAATTTAAAAAAAAATGGATAATAAAAGAAAAGCATTTTCTTGAAAAAAATAAATTTTCTCTTAACATGCAGTTCATTCATTTGGTAACTGTCCAAACTTTACATTTTCATGAAATATTTTAGAATAAAATGATTTTTTTAGTATTATCCAAAAAAAAAAGTTTAAAAAAAAATTAAAGATTTTTCTTAAATTCTTTATATATTGGCCAAATAAAAAATCAATTTTCAAGTCCTAATTATTTTGTTTTTCCTTTTCAAATTTTTTTTCGTATTTTGTTTCATCTTTCG